CAACTGGGAGAATTGGCCCGGGAAAAACGAAAGTTGTACCATTGAGGAAAACTTGAGCTCCGTGTGCGGGCAAGGGCGCATACCGTTATACTCTGCAGTCGTCCACTCGGTCGATGAGATCCGCACTGTGGTCAGGTTTGCCAAGCAAAGAAATATTCGGTTGGTTATCAAGAATACGGGTCATGACTCAACTGGTCGATCAGGTGCTCCCAATTCCCTCCAAATCCTCACGAATCGCATGAAAGATATAACCTTCCACGACGACCTCGTCCCTTCCCAAGGGGGTTTGGGATTAGATAACGTCAACGCCATTGGAGTGCCTGCCGTCACTATCGGGGCAGGGGTTATGGTAGGTGAGCTTTATGCCGCCGCTGCTGCTCGAGGGCTTTTCGTAGTAGCGGGAGAATGCTCCACGGTCGGCGTTGCTGGAGGGTATCTCCAGGGAGGTGGAGTGTCAACAGTCCTTAGTCCATTGTACGGACTGGCGGTAGACCATGTTCTGGAACTGGAAGTCGTGACGGCACAGGTACGTGCAACTTTCTATCGATTCTCACGGCGCTAATCGAATCAGGGCGACATAGTCACTGCAGACGAGAACCAACACGAGGATCTGTTTTGGGCCCTACGGGGAGGCGGAGGAGGCACTTATGGTATTGTCACCAAAGTCAGGATGCGAACATTCCGCGATATCCCATCAGTTATCCCGACCATCCATTTCACCTATCCACAAGCAAATGATATCTTCTGGCAAACAATAACGCAGATTGTGCGACTAACGCGGTCCCTGTCGGTCAACGGAAATTCGGGACAGTACATAGTAGGTCGTCTGCCGAGTTACCAATGGTACGTGAACTGGACAATGTTCGTCTGGGGCGAGAACAATTCCGAGTTGCTGGAAGAACAGGTTCGGCCCTTTCTGAGGTTTCTTGACTGGCTTGGTATCGGGTATCAATATGAGTTGGCCGAATACTCCAGAATCAGCGACTTTCTCACTATCCCCAAGCAGGCAGACATTGGCGGGATCGGATACCTGCAAAGCAGCGTGGTGATAACCGAGTCATTCATGAATAGCATCGCCGGCACTTCAAGACTAACAGCGTCCTTTTCGAAGCTGGTGTTGGATCCTGGGGCACTAATCACGGTCAATGTGCTGGGAGGGCAGATTAACCTCAACGCCAAGGACGAGGACACATCTGTCAATCCGATGTGGCGGTCATCTTCCCTCCTTGTAGTTCTGATGCAATCATTCCCGCCGACGACCGAAGCACAATCAGCCGCACATCGAACGCTGTCCCAGATCAATACACCTATCCTCGCCTCCATCGATCCCGAGGGAGGCTGTGTCTACTTCAACGAGGCAGATCCCGAACAGAAGGACTTTCAGAATGCTTTCTGGGGTCGCCATTATGGCCGATTGCGTCAAATTAAGAGCCAATGGGATCCGGACGGCCTGTTCATGGTGCGTAACGGGGTAGGCAGCGAGGGCTGGGATGTTGAGAGTATGTGCAAGAAGGGGACTATGGCACCGGTCTAGGCAATCGAAGTATGCAGGAGGACCTCATGCCATCGTAGGCTGGCGCTCTCATCCGAAGCCAAGTATATAACTAAGAGAACCAGTGGCTTCGGGTTCACAACAATGGGATCGATGGAATGCGGAACTTTAGCACATGGCATGAATACTTTGTTATGGCACTGACCAGCTTTCGTTACCGGCTGAGGAACGAATTATGCAGATCCTTGCTTATTCCGTGTAGATGGAGGGAGGTGTATACGAGAAGATGCTAGATCCATCAAAATTTTAAGGTTTCAAGGGGAGTTTGCTATTTGGTTCGTGTTACTGAACCAGGAATCTGGGGTAAAGCACTAGAGCCACGAAAGGTTGTGCCTCGGGGACTCCATGTCTATTTTGGGTATCTTTCGGACGAGATGGCGAAGCACAAATAGAGAAAGTGTAGGAGACGAGGGAAGGAGAGGGGGGAAGGGGAGTTGCAATTGGCAGTTCCAGGGAAGTTAGACGAGGGAGAGCAGACGAACCATGTGACTCCTCTCCCCCCCCCCCCAAATACCGGACCACCAGCCACAGTCTTGGCTGGGCTCGGCTATTGGGAGACCCGACGAACCAGCCGGGGAACCAGAGCAGCGGGTATTCGGTACGCTGAAGTATGTGCCCAGGCTCAGGTCTGGTACCTGCTGGGAGACCCTTAACACCGCCCGGCCCCCGCGGAGTTAGGGTCAGCCGGACGAGAGGCCCAAGCCTGCAGAGTTGCCAGAGGCGCCGCCGCTGTAATGCCAGGTTCCCCGAAATTCAGGCAGACAGGCGGGTTCAACCCCGGACTCTTCCCAAGTCCCTCCCAGATTTCTGTCTCTTCCAACCCCCCTCTCCCCATCTCCTCCATGATCCAGTCCCTTCTCTTCCTTCGCTTCTCTCCTCTTCTCTCCGCTCGCTCTGGCGCTCTTCTTTCGCCTCCCCGCTCCTTTCCATCTTCTACCCTCTTCTTCCTTAATCTCTCAATCTTTTGAAATTAACAACCACCCCTCACCTCCGGGTGTTATCGGCTTCCTTTCTTTTTTATTCTTCTTTTACTGTTCGTTCTGGCTCTCCTTCAGCGATACAATTAAAATAGACCTCCAGTGGCGCCGCTCCAAAACCTTCCGATCCTTTCCCCTGTCGCCCTTGAAGACCTCCTTCCCCCTTCATCTTGCGACGAACGGTACGAACAACCACCTTAAATCGCCACCAGAGTCTTTTCCTCCCACTAGCGTCCTGCCTTCAACTCAGTATTGAAACTGGGCGCTTGCGTGCGTTTCATGGCTATCCGGTAAACCGGACGCTGCGCCTCACTTGACGAAGGCTAATCTGGACCTAGGAGGCTCCAGAGACCCCTTGCGATCGGCTGGGCAGGTATTCGACTGGGAAGATAAGGATGCAAAGAAAGACGTGGGTTGGTTTCACAAGTGCTTCTGGTCCGTCGCATCTCTTGCTAGTCGGGACGCATAGACCGATTTGCTGGACTTTGACATCGATTTGACATGGCGCTACCTTCTAAACTCGTCGCAATCGGAATCTATAACCGGCCTACTGCCTTCGTCCTTTGACCTCCATCCCTGGGAGGGTGGTGTACATCTACTATATCAGTCTGACCCTGTGGTCGAGGTCACCGATCCCCAACATGTGGGATTCTCTCTCCAGACCGCCCGAGGGCCTCATTGGAGGTTACCAGGGTGGTAGCATGGCTATCAAAATTTTGATGGCAGTCTTCTGTGCAATTGCTTTGTATAATGCTGTTGAACTCGTCATTCTCATATTTCTCACCTTCACTCGCTACAGCGGTCTCTATTTCTGGGCCATGCTGCTCTCCGCCGTGCTTGGCGTCATCCCCCAAGCAATCGGCTTTCTGCTGGAGTTCTTCGCCATCGGGCCTCTGTGGTTTGCAGTCACCTTCTCTACATTAGGCTTTTACTTTATGGTCCCAGGCCAATCCATTGTACTCTACTCTCGACTCCATTTGGTCGTACAGAGCCAAACGCTGCTGCGGCGGGTGCTGTACCTTATCATCTTCGATACGATCGTCCTATTGATTCCTACGACTGTGCTCACCTATTGTACGATTTATGTCGGCACCACGCCCGTTATTCGAGGTTTCAATGTGATGGAGCGCCTGCAGCTTGCTTGGTTTTGTGCACAGGAGATTCTCATCTCGATCATCTACATCGCCGAGACTCTGAAGCTGCTACGTTTGCGGCCCGAAAAGGACGCTGAACGGCATAAGACCATGTATGAGCTGATAGCCATCAACCTGGTGATCATTCTCTTGGATGTCGCGCTCCTGGTTCTAGAGTATGTGGGACTATACACACTCCAGACCACCTTGAAGGCTGCAGTCTACAGTGTGAAGCTGAAGCTGGAATTTGGCGTCCTGAGGAAACTGGTTTCGCTGGTCAATACCCGCCCGGCGGAGTCGAGCTCCTCGGATCAGGAGACCTACCCAACATTTGTTGATCCCAACCAGATCACGGGAGATGTGACACGTGCTGCCCCCGCCTACAATCGACGGCAGTCGCGGTACCCGTGGACAGCCATCTCCATGGACAGCCTGGTCCTATCCGATCGCCGAAGTCAGCATGTCACCTCGTCGGAAATAGAGCGGCCTTCCTGACATTCGAATCCTCTCTGAGCTGCAAAATTCTGCTGCATGTATATACGATCTCAAGCTGTGATATATCTCACACCAGGGCTACACCGATACTGATAACGGGTTCTAGTCTTCCGAGAAAGACTTCTGCCCTGGTAAAGGGCTCGCCACCAAGCAGGTTTCCCGCGCATTGTACAGCAAAATGCCCGGAATTCGGGAAATGTGGCTGCAGTGATGGCTGAGTTGCCTACACGGCTGCCCGGACCGGAGTCTTGTCACTCTGAGCCATGTATACGTCATGACCGTTATTTCTGTATATACTACATCTGTATATAATGTGTACCATGCTACGATAGATGATCACTCTTCTGTACGTATACCTTATTCGGACGTAGGGGGGTGACTGGGCGGGTCGAAATTTTCCAAAGATAGTAAGTAGTAGATCGTTGCATGTCGCCATCGAGCCCGTCCACAGGGCCCTGAACAAGATCGGCCGAGACAGAAATCGGATGGTGGGTCGGAACTAGTCCGACGTCCCGGAAATCCGGAACTATCATCACCCGCAGCACTGGCCAGCAACCGGGCGATTCGAATTAGATAGCTCGGACCCGTGCATGAGATAGGTGCGGTACATCGGCAAGCTAGTGACTTATGGGCGATTGGGCGTGGACCAGTCCGGGCCAGATGGAGTCCAGAGAGGAGCCCTTAATGAGGTATCATATAGTCTAGTCCCGGTAGCCGTCATGAGAAGCGGAGTCCCGTGGCTGGCCAGGGTCGTCTCCTGCGTAATAGATGACTCTTAATGTTCACTAGACAGCAGGCCGTATCCTGCTTTTTGTGAGTTTCTTATGCGGCCTGACGGTCAATCTGCGAGTCATGGAAGGCTCACACACCGAAGGATCGATAGATAGCCCACGCCGACAGGGCCGATCATTGAATCGGACTGATAGGTAGGCAGTCTCCACTTGGCAGCTGCGACGGGGTTAACCTTACATGCAGCCAGATATTGTCTAAGAAAGAAAGAAAGACTTTCGAAGGAAGAATCGTACCTGATTCCTGGGAGACGGACGCGATGGTACGTGGCGCTGCCACTGCCAGTGCCACTAAAGTTTCCGACTAGGATCGATTCATTGTTGTTGAAAGGTAGTTGCTTAAAGCTACCCAATTATTAGGAGGAGTGAGGCAGGGATGCACGAATATGACTAACTACCCTGTAACCCCCGGAAGGACAGCGATGATGTCATCACTTGGTCAATTTCAGTCTCTGGAACGAGAGAGTTCGCGGGTGGTTGTCTGAACGTTCATGTCACTCTAAGTTATTATTCGGGTCAATAAGTTTGGGAGGTGTGGTGGGTGAACCCTGGCCACGATACTGTCTGCCTAACAGCTGCCACACTTTCATACTTTCATCACTACTTACGTACCAGGCAGATAGTTAACTAAGTTAGTTAGTTAACTTGAACGTGACTGACTAACCATCCAGGTACTGTACTAACTCGATGAGGAAACGCAGAGATAAATTGGCCAAAAATGCCAGGATAACCCTCATGGGTACGTATGTGTGGAGTTGGACATGTGGGCTAGCCTGGAAACGGCACTCGTCACGGGATGCGCAGGGCTGTGATTGGCAGGAACACTACCCGATCGTGGTGAATCGCGGGCTGGAATTCATCTTTTTTCCCAGTCGGGCGGGAGGCCCTGTGGAGGGGTCATCCGTGCTGCTGATTGGTCTCTGCCAACTTCTGGCCACCAACGGCTGGCCGCTAAACCCGAAGAAGGCATCCGGGACATCTGGGGAACGAAAGAGAGTCCGTCCTCCATGAAACTGATTCTTTTTCCTCCTCCTCTGACTTGCTCCGTCTTGCTTGTTTCTTCGCTGGAACCCTCGCTAAGGGGCGTTTGGATTCCCGAAATACCTTACCCTCTCGGTCGGTAACCGGTCTCCATTTGATTGTTCGGGCAGTGCGACGAACTATATCACTTTCGCCTCTGTGACCATTCACTCTATATAGTGGTAATATATTGCTCCTCACCACTATCAGCCCGCCTGCCACCACACCTCTCCCCCCGGTCTCGACCTCCCCTCTTCACCTATTGTTAGTATGTTTTTCTTACCCTCCCCAACTGGATGAGTGGTGGTTACTACTAGCTACATTGTTTCAGCTTGCCAAGTCACCGCTAACCCTTCATCAGTATACTCCAGACTCCTCCCCCATATCCTCCGATTTGTCGTTAGTACCCCGCGTCACCTTGTGCGTCGAGTATCGCATTGCGGCCCCGTTCCCCCATATCGAGCAGTTTCGCCCCGCTGGCTGCCTTGGGCAACCGACCGTGATTATTCCCCGCGGTCGATTGGGAGGGCAACATTTTACTCCGGTTGAACCACTTGCTTCGCATCGCCCAGGCCACCCCATAATCACAACTTGCCAATGTCACGTTGAGCATACGTGGAGAGCACACAATTTCCTACCGGGCCACTGCTCTTCCCCCCTAGTCCGAAAATGGATTCGAACGATCCCCCCACCTCGACAGGCCGGGGCACGGATCTCGACCCTCATGCCCCCGAAGTACCGCCGACATCCAACAAAGAAACGACTGTTCCGGATCAAGGCCACAATACCTCCATGGACAGTACGACTGTAGGCGGCACGGACCGAGTATATCCCATTCGGTCAATCATCTCCTTTAATCCCGTTTCCACAGACATTACCCAGCAAAGCATACCAAATGAAATGCGTTCTCCGCGAAGTGGTGCTCGTTCATATTCAATTATCGACGCCGATACTTGGGACCAATTGAGTTCACAATCTGCTAGTTCGCCACATACCAATCCTTCTCCCAACGCGCCTGTCCATAGTCCTGAGTCGACCGGTCGGCTCTCGCAGCAGTCTTCAGATGTCTTCTCGCCGGCCTCGAGCGCTGCCGAGCGAGACGCTCCGCCGGATGAAAGCTCCACGTACAGGAAAGTCGCGCCGGAAGAGGGCCATGCGAGCCTTGTTACTTCGCGGTTCCAGCACGTGGTCACGGCGGCGGGTCATGCTGTTATAACAGGCAATACACCTGATTCTTTTCGGGCCTGTGAAGACGAACCGATCCACATTCCGGGCGCCGTGCAAACCTTTGGCGTCATGCTTGTTTTGCGCGAGACACCTGAGGGTTCACTAGCAGTCCATGTAGCTAGTGAAAATTCTGAGGCTATTCTGGGTCACTCACCAAGCAACCTTTTTGCGCTGGAGAGTTTCTCTGACCTCCTGCAAGACGATCAGACCGACATTCTCCTCGATCACATTGACTTCATTAGAGACGACGGATATGACCCCGTTAGTGATGGCCCAGAGGTATTCATCCTTGCTGTCAAGGATCGATTTGGTCGGCCTCGACGCTTTTGGTGTGCCATTCATGTAAACACTGCTCACCGGGATGTGCTCATTTGTGAGTTCGAATTGGAAGACGACCGCATCAACCCTCTGAACGTTGCTGGACGCACAACACCTACATCCCCGACGGATACCTTGGGCTTTGAGCCAACACCTGATCAATTAGCAAGCAGCACTGTGAACATCAGCCAGCCGCTACGAGTGCTTCGGAATGCACGCAGAAGGAGGGGCGAAGCAGCTGCCATGGAGGTGTTCAGTATTGTTAGCCAGATTCAGGATCAGCTTGGTGATGCCCAAAACATGGACGCTTTGCTCAACATCACGATCGGCATAGTTAAAGAGTTAACGGGATTTCACCGCGTGATGATATATCAGTTTGATAGCGAGGCCAATGGAGATGTGGTGGCGGAATTAGTCGACACGAGAATGACCAAGGACTTGTATAAGGGATTACATTTCCCGTCGTCGGATATTCCAAAGCAAGCCCGCGACCTGTATCGTCTCAACAAAGTACGCATACTCTACGACCGTGAGCAGATGAGCTCACGGTTGGTGTGTCGAGGCATCGAGGATCTCAAGACTCCTCTAGACATGACACATGCCTACTTGCGTGCAATGTCGCCTATCCACATCAAGTACCTAGCGAACATGGGAGTCCGTGCGTCTATGTCGATCAGTATCAACAACACACATGATCTTTGGGGTCTGATCTCCTGCCACTCCTATGGAGACGCCGGAATGAGGGTACCTTTCCCGATTCGGAAAATGTGTCGGTTGATCGGTGATACACTTTCTCGGAACATCGAGCGTCTTTCTTACGCATCACGTCTCCAGGCACGCAAGCTCCTCAACACCATCCCTACGGATGCCAACCCCTCTGGTTACATAATTGCTTCCTCGGATGACTTGCTGAAGCTTTTTGATGCGGACTATGGCGCATTGTCTATCAGAGGGGAGACCAAGATTCTCGGAAAGTCAACCGAGTCACAGGAGATGCTGGCTCTGCTAGAGTTTCTCAAGATCCGCCAGCTCAATTCCGTCGTTGCATCGCATCATGTGAAGAAGGACTTTCCAGACTTGCGTTACCCGCCGGGCTTCAAGGAGATCTCGGGCATGTTGTACGTGCCTCTCTCGGCCGATGGCAAGGACTTTATCGTCTTCTTCCGCAAGGGCGAGCTGACGCAGATTAAATGGGGTGGGAATCCCTATACGAAACTGCTGCAAAATGGTCACCTCGAGCCTCGCGCGAGTTTCCAGGTCTGGACTGAAACAGTCATGGACCGGGCTCGTGAATGGAGCGAGTCGGAAGTAGAGACTGCAGCCGTTTTATGCCTGGTCTATGGCAAATTTATCAAAGTATGGAGACAACAGGAGGCTGCGTTGGAAGGTTCGCAGTTGACGAAGCTGCTTCTGGCTAATTCAGCCCACGAAGTCCGAACCCCGCTGAATGCCATTGTCAATTATCTAGAAATTGCTCTCGAAGGTGCCTTGGACACGGAGACTCGCGACAACCTTACCAAATCATACTCCGCCTCGAAATCATTGATCTACGTCATCAACGACCTATTGGACCTGACCAACACCGAAAAGGGACACAATTTGATCAAAGATGAACCCTTCGATCTTCCGTTATGTTTCAAGGAAGCGACCGGCATGTTTTCCGGCGAGGCGCACCGGAAAGGAATAGAGTATACGGTTCACGCCCACCCCGGGCTCCCGAAGACCGTTATGGGTGATGAACGGCGTGTTCGGCAGGCAATCTCAAATCTGATCTCAAATGCCATCCAGCATACATCTACGGGTGGCGTCACTGTCGAAATGTGGCGAGCCCCTGGCAATCCAGAGCCTGGGTTTGCAACCATACACATGACAGTGCTTGATACGGGGACCGGAATGTCGTCCTCTATACTGGAGACGATGTTCCAGGAATTGGAGCAGGTCTCCTCAGAGGACGACAGCTACTTTTTCGACCGGGATCCTAACAATAATTCGCAGCATACTGAGAGTGAACGCCAGAAAGGTGTCCTCGGGTTGGGGCTCGCTTTGGTGTCTCGCATTGTACGGAATACCCACGGTCAGCTCACAGTGCGATCGGAGGAGGGCAAGGGTAGTCGCTTCCAGATTTCGCTACAATTTGCTACACCAGAGGATACGAATTCTGACCAACCCGAAACCCCGCAAACGTCAACGCAGGACGATGGCGCCATCCCTTTTGAGGCCAAGGAAGAGTTTATCTTGGTCGACAGCAGCTCGTCTGCACCAAGTGATGGATGGCGACGCAGTGGTAGCTATCGTGGCGCGAATAGCCCGTCTGCAGACGAGCTGGACGCCAAACTGGTAGTTGAGGAATCTATTGATCGTACGAAAGACGAAGCTGCTGGTCTGCTTCCCTCTTCAGATCGCCGGAAACTCGTTACGCTGCCTTCAACCCCTGAAAGATTGGATGACGTCACACGTGCTTTGCAGCAGAACGTGCAGAATCTGTCCATATCCAACAAACCGGCAAGCACTATTGCAGGCCCTGCAGGACCCGCTCCAACGAGTGCTCCTGCAGGCTCGGACACTAAAGCCCCGTCTGGCAAGTACCGCGTTCTGGTGGCCGAAGACGACCCTATCAATGGCAAGATTGTACAGAAGAGGCTCGGGAAGCTAGGCCACACCGTCCAACTGACAGTAAACGGTGAAGAATGCGCAGCTGCATACCGAGCCGATTCTGCGCAATATGATGTCGTCTTGATGGATATCCAGGTAGGCCTTCCTTAGGTATTTGTTAGTATAGACATGCTAATGCAAGATAGATGCCGATTGTGGATGGTATTAAATCGACGGAAATGATCCGCGAGTTCGAAACGTCGTCCGATCCAACAGAGCTCTCGTCGGTCGCAAAGCTGAACAATCGAATCCCCATATTTGCAGTTTCAGCCTCTCTTTTAGAGAAGGACATGTCCTTATATGTTGATGCAGGCTTCGATGGCTGGGTCATGAAACCCATCAACTTCAACCGACTTAACGTGCTTTTTGAAGGCCTTCAAACGAGGGATACAAGAAACGCTGCTACGTATCATCCAGGCTGCGACTGGGAACAAGGCGGCTGGTTCACGCCTATTCCCGAGAAGCAGTAGCACCACCAATTTGCCTCATCATCACCATCTCTCTATTCTCAAAATAGCGTATGTCCACACGGAATACGTTATACATTTCTTGTCGTGCATTTGAGCGCATGATTATTCACATCTACTTTACAACAGCACACAAAAGTGACGACCGCGACATGACGAAAAAATATGAATGATCGGCATTCTACGTGTGTTCGACCTGACTGGAGCCTCATCTTGTGAAAATTCTACATTTTTTTGTCCATGTATACCCCATTAGTTGATTTGTCTAGGCTCATATCTTTGTGTTTTGAACTCATGGGATCTGAGTCCTTCATCTATCATGGCTTGGTTGGTTGGTCGGTTTATGCATTATGTTATGTTTAATGGTCTATGAGCACACGTACAGCCATTTAGAAGTTCGGTTATCTATCTATTTTTACAAGGATTTCCTGTTTTGGTTTTGCCTGCTTAGCTTTAGCGAGAATTTGCTGGTGTCTATCACTTTTGTATACTATATATCACGTGTGATATTATGATGAATGGTCAACACAGCCATGCGTGGTATAACTATCATCCGAGTGACAACACTTTAGTACGTAGAACATATGCGAGTGCTTGAGGGAACCACTTCAAAGTTTCATCCAAATCACTTGATAAATCACAATATATTTAGTCACAACTCAGGATATAATAAAATCACAAACAACACTCCATACCGAAATCCAAAGTACATTATACAAATCATCACCACCAACAATCCCACCCATTTATACAACCGACGTCCGCCGACTAACACCACATCCAGCACCACCCTCTAAATCCACCACCTCCTGCACCAAATGCTCCGCCGAATGAGCCACCGGCGGCTCCGCCACAGACACCACCGTATCAACAGATCCCATCCTGCTCCTATACCACCACTCCTTTTCCCTCCCCCAAGTACCCCCAGGACTTCCTTCCCCTTCACTACCACCACCACCATCCTTACCCTCCCCAACACTACTCCCCACCCCCCCAGACATCATCGCCACAGACCCCCTCTGCATAATAAGCGGCTGCATACTCCCCCTCCTCGACTGACTCCCACTTCCACACCCAGTAACCGAATAAATACTATTTTGCTGATGATAGTAGTACTGAAGAGAAGAACTCTTCCCACCAACAAACCCCACAAGCCTCCCCACCGCAACACCCTCAACCAGGACCTTCGTACTAACCACAAAGGGGAAGAAAGCCATCGCCGCAGCGGTATGAACCACATACACGGCCACGATATTGGCTATGTTGAGGATGAGCGAGATGCAGCCGGCCATTAGGAGGGTGTAGAGTAACTGTCTCCCGTTCGCATATCCCCTGTGGGATTGATATTGATTCTGGTAATGGTAGTGTACAACCGGCCGAAGAAACCTCACCACACCCCAAGCATAACACCCCAGGAGAAGAATCTCCCTCCCGCAGTACGCCGTCACCGAGATGCGCTCGAGGATGGTAACGGCATGCGACCAGTGGCCATTCTTGTATAGGGTGGCTGCAGCGGGGGCGACGATGACGTGGGGGAGTTGGAAGAGGAGGATGGAGGCGATTATGCCGTAGAGAAGGAATCGTTGGGTCTTCAGGTGGAAGTAGGCGGAGGGTTTTTGGTGGATTGTTATTAGGGGCAGGGAGAAGTAGAGCAGGAGGGTGTTGGATATGCTGGAGGTGGTGGTGGTTAGGACGAGGAGGATGGCGGAGGTTATTCGGATGGCGGGGTTGTTGGGGGGGAGGTTGAAGAGGAGGAGGGTTGTGAAGGTTGTGGAGAGGAGGGTTGTTGTTGTTGTTATTGTGGTTGTTAGGATGGTTGTGGTTGATGCTTTTAGAGGGTTTGGGAGGAAGAAGGAGAGGTCGAAGATGAGGTAGTACAGGAGGAGACAGGTGAAGGTGGAGATGGAGAGGAGGGATATTGCTGTGTAGATGTCGGGTTGGGGGAGGGTGGAGGTGGAGGGTTCTGTTGTGGTGGTGGTGATGTTCATGGTGATGGTAGTTGGGTCATTGTTCGGTTTGAGGATGGGGGATTGGGTGCCATGAAGACCTTGATATATAAAGTATAGGGTTGATGTGAGGGCTATGCTATGGGTATGAGTATAACAAAGACTCGACTTGAATGTGTGTAGCTCAGCTGCTGAAGTTGAAGTCCTATATCCGAACCAGATGTGGATGTATGAGAAAACATCTCCGGGGCTGCATAGAACTAACCCTCAATCAACCGCAGATAAGGTTCTGATATGTTCATCGTTGGATCCGTGGTTGAGAGCGGCACCTGCAAGGGTCTGGAGCCGTCCGTTGCGGAGCTGCAGAGCTACGAACAAAGCAAGGATTCTCAAGGCCCACGGGAGATCGTCGTGTTGGTTTGTAGTGACGAATTGGAAGATGCCTTTGGCAGCAGTTCATCCACTTGATGAGCAGTTGGTCGCGTGTGAGATATTCTGGTCTGGAAATGTAAGCCGATGGAGTAGTCATCTATGTAATTATGGAGTGAGTCAGGTTGTTTGTTTGATGCTGACTGTTGGCCGACGACTTGATACTATTATCGCTGGAGAATCATGATGGTATCTATAGAGGTGTTTGATGCATTGAGGATGGCCTTCTGCGACGGAGTCTGAGATACGCACAGACAATTGTGAAGACAGGTTCACCCTCGGTTGAGCAACGAGGAGATGTCCGGGGACTCGGATCCGGAGCCAGACAGGCAAGCTATGGCCCCGGGATGGGTTTGGCCGCTAGATAAGGTTTTATTGTGGGCCGGTTGTCATTTGTCAAGGACAACTCTAATCTATTCTGCTATTGACTGGTGCTTGGCAAAACAGATGGTGTGGCATCTACTGCATTGTGATGATCTCTACGGGAACGTTTATGAGCCCTACATGTCATGCCATGGGAGAAGATTCTCTTTATTGTATGTGTATCGACATGAGTAACCCGAAATCCTTCATGATCTCCCTCCTATACGCAACCTCATTGACACCTTCTGATCAATATGACCCAAAATCTAGCCCCTCTCACCATATATCCTAAGCGGCATGCGCTTATAACAATAGCGTCTAGACAGTGCACTTGACAGTGGCAGCACTCAGGTCCACTGGCTGCGCCGCACTCGGGTTTCCATCCAGGTCCACATAGGTGTTCCGGGAGTTCAGGGTAGCCAGAACCGATCCGTAGTTCGTGATCACGCAGTTGGTGTTCGCCTGGAAGTTGGTCAATTGCGCCGACGAGGCCTTGACCACACCACCAGAGCCGACTCCGGTGTTTCCGTACAGAGCCGAGATGCTCTGCACACTGCCGTCGGCGGGGACGGCGGCGCTGCCCTGTGCACCAGTCTGGTCGTTGGCCAGGGCGATGGTCACAGCGGGGATGATAGGGCCCGCAGAGACGGAGGTAGCCAGGAGGGCAATGAGGACGGCACTGATCGACTTCATATTGAGGTGAGGAGGAGGTGGTTGATTGAAGGGGAAATTAGATGGTTGATTGATGATGATGGTCAAGAGACAAGTTGGGATGGAATGCTGTTGTGTTGCTGGAATAGTCCTTGAATGTCGAGGGAGAAGGCCTGCTTTATACCTTTTCCTTTCGCTCCTTGTACTGAAGGCCATATATACTATATTTTGTCGAGGTTGTCATGCGGTCTCTGGCTCTTCGTATCTGTCTCACTTCCTGCCGGGTCGTAGACACCCTGCCACAGCTTTAGGCGTTCCATGACTTTACTTGACGTCGATTGGATTCACGATCTCCCGCCTACAGCCGAGTGTAGACCGACGTCATGAGACAGGGATCTTTGAATGTACTTTCCGGCGCCGCCGAGAGTCGAATAGAAGGCATCTCAATGGTTGATTGCTATTTCGGGACCGATATTTATGACATCTCACTGGGCACGTGAGGGTGAGATGCAGGTCTCAAACCTTCAGCATCGAGTCGAGGCGACGGCGAGCCGGAGATTCTTGACTCTCCAATCGTAGAAATGGTGCGGTGGAGAGCTCGTGTTGTTGCGTGAATACGAGAAGTCCATGTCGACGGGCATTGCAGGCCGCACTCGATACCGGTGATGCTCCCTACATAGTGGGATGTTTTCTTGCGACTAAATATCGTGCTCATAATGCATGGTGCTCATAATGTTCATTATGAATAGCAGATAGAATGATTTACCAGACCAGGGAAGTGGAATAATTAGGGAAGGCGGAGTTCAGGAATACGAGCTGGTGCCGTAAGGCAATGCCAAATAAAGACGACGGGAAGGACGATATACTTTCCCCAATGTAACATCCCTGCGACATCGCTCACTTCCCCGGATATCCTAGCACTTCATGCGATGAGGATCGACGCCGATCCTAAACATGCGTCATCTTGGATCTTCAGTTCGGATGATTCGGAGGCATCGGTGCTACCCGGGCGTAGTACTGGGTTGTAACGATGAACGAACGCCAGGATGTAGATGACCCTTGCAAGATATGACATTGTCTACCAATTCACTGCGACAACTCTGGACGACTACATTCGCCATCTGAAACGATGACCGACTTCAATTTTGTGGAGAGAACTTGCAGTCAGAATTTTAGGCTGCTTTGTCGGACGATTTGGGCGTGCTTACGGGCATTGGAGGCTTGGCAGGTCGACATATAGCCAAGAATAAGGCCCAGAAGATGAAGGCTGTGAAGATGCAGTGGCAACAGCCCTGTGGCCGCGTGCGAGCCACCTGGGGCTGTGTCATATGCGAGCCCTTGATCTAGACGATGTGTCTATGCAGAAAGCCGTATCCGACATAGCCTTCCTTGCGTGAATAGATGACTGCGGCTTCGCCAGTGAGATGATGATGACTGGTCTTTACCAGAGTTGCTAGGAGCTACAAGGGCTATCATAGGGCTGCATTAGGGCCGGGCTTATGATACCGACGAGAAGTGAAGGAGTTCGGGGTTACGCGAGGCCTGGTAGATACCTACCAGCATGTCGGCAATGCACTAGAAGGTATCTAGAGCTCTTCCGACCAGAGAGTGGCGAGCTACGGAATGTTGGCAGACAGGGAGACCTCCGAAGACCCTTGCTTGGATGCACCGCAGGTGTAAACCACACGCTATGGTGCGGAACAGGAACGGGGACATTCCCATCACACAGTGACTAGCTCCATAGTCGTTTTGCAGGCCAAACTATAAGGCTTGCAAAAGGTTGGCGGAAATGCTAGGCCGTGTTCTCGTCACGAGACCAAGACCTTTATAGATAGCTGGCTCCAGTCTGGCTTCAAACGGATTCAATACTGTGTCCGTAAGAAGTTGGGAATTCTTTACTCAAGTGTAATGTGGAGCAGAGACCAGCTGAGTTCTGAAACAAGCAATGAGACCTGCGAGTCACGCGGGCAGCGTGACTGGATGACCAAGTGGAAGCTGTTGATATCCCTGGGCAGGTATGAAAGCTGTTGCGCTCACACTAAGAGTCCCAGAGTATATGTTTTTTCACCCAGGTTGGTCTGGATTTCTATTGAAACGAGATGTTGTCCAGCTGGATGCAGAGTCTATCATAACGGTGAGGGAGAGATCATTGTGTCAGAGCCCGATTTGGCCATCTAACGGGACCATCATTAGAATTGTGTGGTTTAAAACATGTCCTCAAGAGAAAGGAATACAGTAGTAAAGGTTGAACCAGCGGGGTATAGTAATAGCGGTGAGTGGAAGAGACGGAGAGGAGAAGAAAAAGAGTGGAAAAGAGAGAGGGAAGATGGAGAATGTATGAAAGAAGTTGGTCTGTGCGCGGGAGCTGCTGACGTTGACGTCGATGGAGCGAGTCTCACTTTCTGCCTGCATCCACTCGCTCTTCCTCTTCACGCCTTCCTCTCCGCCTCTCTTTTCCTTTCCTTCCCTCTCTTTCTCTTCTCTCCATTCCACCCTGGTCCTTCTTTCAGCTTTCTATTGTTCAGTTACCATGTCCTTCTCCTAGTGCGACCTGTATTATTCGATTAGATTACTCCCCGACACACTCCCTAGACAGATAGCCCGTCATGGTGTCCCTGTGGCCCTTCAGGGTAAGTCCAGTCCCCATCCACCGCCAGTCTCCAGTCCACCAACTTACCATTTCCTCATTCTTAGGCCGAGGACAACTCTCCAGCATCCTTCGAAAAAGCCCTCGTCGCACTCTCCACCAAGATCACTCGAGCCACCACTCGTCTCGACCTCCACCGCCAACATGCCCGCCGCTTCAAAGCCCTCTGGACTCTCTACACCACCTTCGCCTACCTCCTCTACTCCATCATCATTGCTCTAGTCCTCGGGTGGCAGAATTGGGGAATCACAGAATACGGCGCGATTATCGGTGGCCCAATCCTGTACGTTCATAATCCCCCCTGATCTACTCCCTCACTGCGACCTGCCACCCCTCACCCCGCCCCTATTGCGGAGCGTCACACCTGCATCACAGCTCCTAACCACCATTCTTAAACAGGATCTACCTCATCCGCACCATCTCCACCCGCTACTATGACTACCGCATCTCCAAAACCCAGGCCTACCTCGACGATCTCCACAAACAGCGCGAGAAAACCATCGAGGACCTGAAGACCGCCACGCGCTGGAACTCCACCCAACAGCTGCTGGAAAAGTACGGCGGGGAATCGCCCAAACCTGCGCGCTCAAACTCGGTCAAGTCTGGCGACGCGAAGCGCAACAAGTCCGAGGGAGCGAAGCGCAGGCAACCATCTCAGCAGCAGCAGCAAGTCCAGCGCACGGGTATTCCCCCGCCCCCGACAGCGAATATCCGACGACCAGCACCGCAGCAATTCCCTCCTTCTCCTCAACCGCCTGCCACCCCGCCAGTCGCATTCCAGCACCACCAGCAGTCTCCACAGAATTTCCCAGGCCAACAACAACCACAGCAGCAGAGGTCGCCAAGCATGAACGTAGGCCTCGAAGAGCCTGGATTCGCTCCGAACGCATTCTCCAGTACGCCTCCACAATATGTGGAGCAGTCTCACTGGTACGACCGCCTGCTGGACGTATTGCTGGGCGAAGATGAAACTCAGCCCAAGAACCGGCTCGCGTTGATCTGCTCCACCTGTCGGATAGTCAACGGCCAGGCGCCCCCGGGTGTCAAAACCCTTGAAGAACTAGGCCGTTGGCGGTGCGGGAACTGTGGCGCATGGAACGGTGAGGAAAGCGAGGCGAAGAAGGTCCTAGCGGGCATCCGCAAGGAACAGCAGCAGTCGTCCATTATCTCCAGCGGCAGTGTTGATGGCACAGAGACCCGCTCGTCCGTGGGAGGAGATGTAACGGATGACGGCGTCATGGTGGCTGCTACTGGTAGCGAGGATGATCAGCTCGAGTCGCACAGCGAGGGAGCTGAGACGTCGGAGGAACAGGCAGAGCAGTCGGCGGAGAGTGAGGATGAGGTAGAGGAAGAGCCTGAACCACAACCCAGTAAGAGGGTTACCCGATCTCGGGCTAAGGGTGGAAGAAGGAAGGGTTGACGATATGCCACTAAGGCTGTTCTGTAATGTAGTTAGTTTATTCGTGTGGCATTATTATCAATACCAGGTCATATCATCCAGACTATATTCAAAGTAGAGTCAACCAGTAGTGTATGTCATTCTCATATCCAAAAGATCGCTCAACTACAAACACCAACCCTAACTCCAAATAACCCAACACCTCCATCAACCCAATACTAATCACAAACTACACCCCCTCCCCACAAGAATCTCCACAGCCCTCTCCGCCGCCGTAATCTCCGCCTCCTCACTAGTCAAACACCCCTCCACAAGAACAGCCACGCCCTCCACACCCACCATCGTCACCGCACACCGATACGTCGCCCCATCATCCTCCCCACCAGCAGTACCAGCAGTACCATCCCCATTCACCACCCTCACCACCTCAAACCTAATATCCCCCTTTGCCATCTGCTGCGCAATATTCCTCGGATGCATAACATCCACCCCATCCTTCAGAATCCGCCTCAAATACCACAACAGCCCCAACCGTTCCAGAAACTTCTCACACTCGGCCAGATTCCCATGCGAATCGATAAAGATAGCACCCAGAATACTCTCGATGATATCAGAGAAGAACTTGTCCGCGTTGAGCTGGGAGAGGTATTTCCAGGGGTAGGACGGGGAGTGTTGCAGGCCGTGGATGATGGATTTGCGGAGCGAGGCATGGCGGGATAAGGCTGCGTCGCGGGCTGTTTGGAGATGGGCGCCTTGGTAGCGCATGAAGCGCCAGAGTTCGAGTTTATGGTCGACGGATGAGGGGTTGAGGGAGACGGTTCCTGAGGGGGTGATTTGTACGGTGGAGCGTTTTTCAGTGAGGGCGAATTCCATGCAGAAGAAGGCGAGGAGGTTGGCGTTCACGACGGCGTGCTTTATCTTGGTCATTTGGCCTTGGGGGATTTCGTGCGGGTGGGAGAGGAGGGTCGACATGATGGCCATGTCGAGGACGGCGTCGCCGAGGAATTCGAGCCGTTGGTAGGATTGGGTGGTGGTGTCGAATTGGCAGGATGGGTGGGTGAGGGATTCCACGAGGAGGGATTTGTGAGTGAAGGTGTAGCCGATGTGCGTCATTAGGTGGTCGTCGTTTAGGGTGTGGTTGGTGGTGCCTTCTGGGGTTGAGGGGGCTGTGGTGGTGGTGCGGTCGATGTGCTCGAGGTTCACTTCGGGGAGGAAGCGGTGGATGCAGGCGTGGGCGGCGGCGAAGCCGCCGTCGATGTAGGAGGCTCCGATTAAGGCTTCGACTACGTCGGCGAGGACTTTGGTGGACATTGTTCGTTGTTTTGGGGTGAGGCTGATCTTTTCGGAGATGAGGGGGGCGGTCCATTTGCGGGGGGTGAACGTCTTGTTCATGATGAAGGCGTCGAGGCCGGCGTCGAGAGCGGCTCGGGCGAGACGTGAGTTCTGGACGATCTCGTCTCGTCCTTCGGAGAGGTAGCCTTCGTGCCAGTTGGGGTGCTGGAAGAAGAGTTGGCATGAGACGGTGAATTTGAGGACTGAGTCGCCGAAGAACTCGTATCGCTGGTAGTTGGTGAGTGATTGCGCGCTGGGCGCGGTGATGGCCGTGATGACATAACGAATGCTGGAGAATTCAAGATCGCGGAGGATGGTCTCGCATAGTCTAGTCGCAACCAATGTGGCTTCTAGTCTATCCAGTATAACTGATATGAAGCGGCCGAAGATGGTTTCGGCATAGGGAAGTTTGTCTATGGTGCAGTTTTCCGCAAGAATAAGACGGATCTTTGAGGAGATATCAGGGGTTTCAGTATCAAGTTGCTTAGCAGCTAATGTTTGCCGGTGCAAAAGATTTCGTCGCTTTGGGAAGGCGTCGCATTCGAGCTCGACTATGGCTGTGTCATCTTGTCCGGACACAACCCACCGTTTGAATACCATAGGCTCATTGTAGCGTAAGCGGTCCCGCACAATGCCCATTATCGTAGGAAAGTCCTTGCGAGAGTAGACTTCTAGAGCAGGCTCGTCTCCGGCGTGCTTCTTGAGCCATTCTGCCAACTCAAGGTCGGGAAGGTCGGGCCCAAACAGAGTCACAAAGTCTTGTTCGGGCCTCAGCTGTCTAGAGCTTGCAGCCTGGAGGTATAGCGCGGTTGCTAGTCTCATATTTTCAATGCTGTCAGCGGCGATCCCTTTCATTCGCTTCGGTTTGTCGAACGCCAACGTATAGGTTGTCTCGCTGTCCCAGAATAAGGTCATCGGTTCAATCGGTGGTAGACTCGTTGGGCTGGTCAACCTGATACACATGTGAGAGTCCCCATTGTGCTTTATAGCAATTTGCGTTTGATGGACATCAGGGGATGACCAGGAACAAGCCCAATCGACCCATGGATCGTACTGTTCCAATACTTCCACAAGGGCCGGCAGGTTAACATGATCGGTCTCTTTTAGCTCTAAATTCCTTTTGAACGGAAGTAGATGATCGCTCAGAAGACCAAACTCGTAGAGCCGTTTGTAGGCTTGAAAGGCTGCTTCTTTCCGAGCTGCTCGCTCGGTCTGCCACCATCGCTGGCCCTGAATACGGCGGACTTCGGGATGGACGCAGGACGGCAATGTGACAGTACCTCTCAATAGATCTGCATCATCCTTCTCATATGAAAATTCAGGCTCGTTGCTCGCATACGGTTGGCGTGGCAGGACTGCGCAGAAATGGTTGAGGTGTGCAACGGCGGTGTCTGCCGTCAAGACAGCACTGGAAAAATCAGCATCAGTACGCTATTTGAGAGTGCTGTGCGGAGCCATACCCAGTAGATGGCACCTCAAGCCTCTCCACCACTTCTTCGTTGATAGCCTCCAGGGCCCAAGCCTCGCGCAGTCGCCTTTCGTCATCCTCATACGCTTCTATCATGGCCTGTTCCAGGTCCTCCCACTTGCTCAGTGTAGACGATTCATCATCTGTAGAGAACATGATGGCATAAGTGGATTGCCTGTGCCGCGCGCGCCCTCGTCTCTGGACGAACGATTTCAGGTTCGGTGGCTTATCATAGCAGACTACCACGCTGCAGGCGCTAATGTCAATGCCCTCCTCCAGCACATCCGTCGCAATAATCAAGTTCTTCTGGCCGGTCCGGAACTCGCTCAGTGTATCGCGCTGCATACGGGCGTCAAGGAGCTCACCCAGAACGTCTTTGCTACCCCCGCCGGACCAGCCGACGAAGGAGGCGCATCGAAAACGATGTTTCGTTACAGGATGAATAGACAGTAGCTTTTCCATTACACTCACTGTAGCCCTCTGTTTAGCAAATACTAGACCGGAAAAGTTGGGCTCTCCCTTTGTATCCAAGAATTCCAGCAGGGATCGGAATTTCGGTGAAATAGGTATTCTATCCGGGTCGGAAGGAGTGAGATCGAGATTTGGGGTCGGTAGCTTGGAGACGATTTCTAATAGATATGCCTTCTCCTCGTCTGTCCAGCCCATGCTATCCACTGAATTATCGGCTCTCGTTTTGAGCTGCTCGACAGAAGCATATATGAAGTAGTCGGCAGCCCACTCCCCAAGCTCTTCAAATATGTGCAAACTTCTTGTTGCAAATCTTTTGAGCTGATCGTTACAATAAGTCTTTCCGGACTCTAGGACCTTTTGCAACGCCCTTCCATCAAGAGGGCTCTTTCTCAACTTCTTGATGTATGGATCATCCTCGAGCCTCATAGATGTCCATGCGTTCACAAGAGCTTTCAAAGTCCTGCTTCCAGCCTGCAGATCGTCGAGCAGCACCGGGGTAAACAAGATCTGCTGCAAATATGGCCGATGGGTATGCGTCATAAGCTCTGACCGATGAGTCCGTGGTGTCTTGCACACGGCATCAAGATTTGACTCAATCTTCCTGATATGGTCAGCCCTACCCTACCCTGCCCTGCACGCCAACACTACACTCACAGTAGCTCCTGTTTATTTGATCTCACCACGGGACTAGCCGTGAGGCCGAGAATCTTGGGCACAGCTTCCGCGCCATGCCTTTCCAACGCAGGGTGATAAAAGTCCTGCATGATCTTATTTGCAGGGTGGCGTCGCATGCAATGATGGGCTGCCAATTAAAAAACACACGGCATAAGCAATTCTCATCTCACAAACACATGTATACCCACACACACACCCACAGCCCCCTACATCATCGCCCTCCGGAACTAAAAGCATCGCGTTACTATACCTTCATCGAAAATCATCAGACCCAGCTGGGTGATCTTGACGAACCCATGGCTCATCGCATCGGCAAGAACCGCATGCGTGGACACCACCACCTGCATCTCCTTCAGGATCGCATCCCAAATAGGCTGCTCAGTCCAGAGCTCGACCTTGTCTAGACTGGTGAGTGTCCGGGCTCGGACAGCAGGGATATTGTCGGAGATGAATTTGAATTGTTGCAGACATAGAGCGACAGTGGGTGTTAAGAACCAGAGTAACTGGAGCAAGCGCATGATAAGTCAATGACTTATGAGCCAAGAATAACTTCACGTCCTTCTTTCTATTTTATTTTTATTATTATTTTCTCACCTTGTGTGGATTACTTTCCAGCTCCTTCATGATTCGCAGCAAAGCGCTGCAGTGAAACCGTCAACTTCCAAATAGAGTTCCACTGTGGAGAAACAAACATACATGTGAGTTTTCCCACTGCCAGTTCCCATCTGCAATATATTATTAGCCTGAACCTTCCGGGAAGAGTGAATATGGCATACCGTGACAATGATATTCTCTTTCAAACTCGCCTCGAACATCTCCACCTGGTAGCTGCGCGGGCGGTATGCGGGCGCATCTTCGCCGGCGGGAAGTACAGTCGCAGCAGCAGTCATTTTGCTGTCATCAGGGTATCACTGGAAAGAAAAGCAAACTGGGCAGAAACAACGAGAGAGACAAATGGCGATGAGGGCACCCCAGCAAGAAGGTAAAAAGATAAAGAGAGAAAGGAGAAAGAGACGCTGAGAATATCAAAACAAATAACTCATCTCAATGAACTAACATTTGGTTCCAGGAGGCGTCAGAGTGGAGGAGGGGAGAGAGAGACTAGAGAGACTCAACTAAAGTAGGGGTGGGGTAAACAAACTGGACAAACTTGGTTGGTTTGGCTGGCCTGGCGGGGTTGGCCTTATGCAGCTACTAGTACTATCAATAGATTCATTCGCTAATCACAGTGGTAGTATTTATTCTGGGGTTGGGTTTGGAGATAACGCTCCCACTGTGGATTGGTTCGTGGTTTGATTTGGGAAGCCGAAGCTTGGTTGGATACTGGTTGGTTTGTTTGTTGGGTTGGGCTGCTAGAATTGAGAGTCGAATCGTGAATGGATAGTCTACAGAACTATAAAAGTAGTACTTGTTGCATCCCCCAATTTCGGAATAGATTGGTATTCGGCTCTGCCTTGAACTGTCACATAACGAGGATAAGGAGGGCAGCATCTTCAGAGCAGACACAGATGGATTACTATGAGCAAGTCGAGCAGTCTGTTTTCCTGAACCCTCTGGTAGGAAGAAGCCATCTCTAACAAACATCGTATGCAAGTGTTGAAACGGGGAAATACCGGAAGCCTCCTGTACCCACTGCCAATGCACCGGACCATCGGCAAACGGGATAGAAGCACCCAACTGCATTCACAACTATGGGTGGACTTCTTCTGTCCCAGGAGACTCCTGTAGCTGACGCTGTGGATGAACATCAAATATTATGAAAAGCACAAAACACCGCTCCTTCCGAGGCCAGAATGGATACCTAGTTACATCACGCCATACACCAGAAGATACGACAACGATAGGAATATCGAAACAGAAAAGCAATGAGCTGATGATATATCTCGGGCGTTCGCAATCAACAGAATACAGAAATGGCGACAACAATCAAGGGTAATATCGAGTTCGAACATATCCGGATCACTCATGATACAACGGGCAACCCGTGACCAGGCTCCGTTTTCGTGGCGTCAGACCCATCGGGCTGTCCGTCGTCATTGCGCGGGCGACGAGCCTGGAAATTGTTCCCCAGGAAGTTCGCCTCCTCATTGGGGTGCTTGCGCATTCCCAGGCCAGCAACCGCGATACGATTCAGCGAGTTCATGTCTTCGTTCGAGGCAGCACCGGGGTTGGGGACCTGCATTTGCTGCGGTGCACCGCCAGGACCGGGCGCGGGACCGGTGGCCGCCGGAGCCCCCGGCGGGGGAACAGAGATATCATTTCGTGGCTGGTTCAGATCAATGTTGCCAGGCAGCTCGGGAACCTCGCCCTGAGAGTCCAACAAGCGCGATTGCAGGTTGATGATATATTCACGGAGCTGGTAGTTCTCGGCTTGCAGCTGCTTCATCGTCTCGTTTGTGTTATCAAACTCCTTCACCTGCTCCTCCAGCTTGCGAATGTAGCTCTCCTTGCGTTGACGGAAAGCTCTCTGCTTTTGGTCAGCCCAAACCCTTAATCCCAGGCATTGGGGTTCACTGTACCTGTGCGGCCCGGTTCTGGGCAGCGCGCTTGGAAGTCGACAGCGGTCGCTTGCCATATGTCTTGGGGGATTCCTGGCCCGTAGGCTCTGGCTGGGGAGGAGTCTGAGGGGGACCACTGAGCATTGCAGCGCCGGAGATGGCAGGGTCGATGTTGTTCTGGTCTCGAGGGCTGGTGGTGTTGGGTTGCATATGCGGAGGCTGCGCGGTCGGACCTTGCGGACGTGCCTGCTGTGGGTGCGACAGATGTTGGTGAGCAGCCAGGAGCTGGTCATGCAGCACTGGAGATCAGACATGCGAGTCAGCATTTAATATAAACACATACGAGGCCAGGGAAGTGGAGTGAGGCAGTAAGCAGCCCGCAAACGCGATGACGCGATGACTGCTGGGGCGATTTTCCTCCTGCTTGTCTCTTTTTTTTCTCTCCCCTATTCCTTCGCGATGAGAAGCTGGTCTCACTTACCCTGATCCGCATGGTCCTATCAAGAAACCCTACAGTTAGCATCTATGTACTCCATGATTCATGTATATCCGGTTGACGCGACCGGTGAGCATCTCAAGGGCCCCGTGTCGCGCGAAAACATGGGCGTGATCCGGCATCGCTCGTCCGACAGACAGGGCGACGGCAGTCGCGAACACGACCAGAAAGCTCAAGCTCCCGGCTAGGGACATGAGCTGCGCGAATCTGGGGAAACGGGGGAAAGACCAAGATGGGACAGACGCGATCTGATGACAAACCGCGACAAGCATAGGCTGCTTACCTGAGCAGACGTTTGCATACTTGGATGCGGCGCTGGGGCTAGTGTGGGCTGCATCGAGGCAATAGATCAAAAGACAACGGGGACGCGCCGGAAAAAAGACACGACAGGATCAATTCACGAAGAGGAGAAGGGCGGACGACGAGCTCGGCCAGTATATTCACACGTTTTCTTTGGGGGTTTCGAGGGGGAGACGAGGATGTAGAGGAACGATGTAGGATAAACGGGGAAGGACGATGAGGTAAGCAGAGAACGAAAGAGAGCGAGCCAGTTCGGAGATAGCTCGTTTTCGCTAGTAGACAGGGGGAGTTGTTTAGGTAAAGGCTGCTCACGCGGGAGGTGCCTTAACTGACTAACTAAGCTGGATTGCAGTTTGACTGCTGACTATTATTGGTGATAACCGGGGGGGGGGGTGTGGGAAAGTGGGTGTGGGCAGATTAGTAGTAATTATGAGAGGCAGTGATCTCGTAAGCAGCGAGTTGTGACGGGAAGTGCTGGGAAGAGCTGACCACGAGAGGGGGGGAGAGGGGGGCGAGAGAGGGAAAGGGAAGATTAGTTAAAGGATCAGTCAGAAAATAAGTGACGTGTGGGAAAAATGGAGGAGGGCGAGTGGCTGGCACCGAGGGAAAAAGGGCCCTTCCCCCGGTGAACTTCACTGGTACTACCACCGTAGTAGTAAGTTAGTACTAGTCAGTCGAGTTACCTGCCTTACTTCCTCAGGTGTCCAAGCCTGCATTTCAAGGAGACTCAAGTCTTTATTTACTGGCTTCTCTCAACATCTTTATCATCACTTCATTCGCTCATTACTTCCTCCTAACTTAACTTAACTCTGAACATTACACAAATATCCCCTCCTTCTTTCCCCTCAACAATCCAAACTTCTTTGTTTCTCCGTTTCTACTGTGTTCTACCTGACCCACGGCTGATGACTGATCCGGCATGTGCTGACTCATCGCTTTCCACAACAACACTAATTTAGTCACCTAAATAGTAGTTTGCCGGCAGTTCACGGAATCTCCCACTGCACAGTAGTAAACACACTCTCCGACGAAACCTAGATAGATACAATCTACTATATGAGTAAGAAACAGCTCCCCAACAGATAAAGCAAGAATAATCAACGTATCCCCTTCCCCACCGGATCTACAAACACGTACAACACCCGGGAGGTAAAATGATCTTCAACCACTCCACTTACTACATCCCTCCGCCGGCATCCGGGCGGTGTCACTAGGAATGTCGGAACCCACGGGGTAAGAATGTCGATGCCTGAACTGAACTGCAGTCCAGTGGCCAGTGGGGAAGGAAGGTCTTCTGACTCAGCCGAGAATTGGCTGGACCGTAGGACGTAATGTCATTGGGTGAGCCATGGCCAAGTCCAGGCTCGAGTCCCAGCGACCATTCTCACCAAAAGGCGGTCAAATTTTATACAGATTTCAGATGAGTGTTTGGGAGTCTGTATAGTCTAAAATCCGACAAAATCCGAGGTTTTTTCATCGAGGTCGACTAGCTTCTGCCGCTTTGGGCGGTGGGAAGGGCGGTCGGGGTTGGGGGTTCTGCCGTTGCCTATCTACTCTGTATTGCCTAGTTGCCTTTGTTGGATAGGATAGTAATTTCTTCGGTGTTCAATTAATTGGATACAGTGTAGTTATTTATGTATGTATTCATGTATGTACTTGGAACTGACATTGCGACAATCTGTTACTAGTAAGTACACATCGAACTACGTACAACATACCAGCAACTTGAATAATGATTAAGTACATCGATCAAACTTCATGACACATATAGACAATAGAGAAGTTCCAGCTCCCACTCATAACCCATGTATATACTACGTTCGTGACCCCAATCCATTATGACATATTCTCCTCTCCTCTCTCGTCATTCCATCTCCTTTCATTGCTCCTTCTTCACCGTGGGCTCAGTCGCCAGCGTCTTGATGATAGTGGCCCCAACATGCGCCGACTCCTTCCATCCCTTCTGTCGCATCCAGAACCGTTCCGCCGGGTCAATGTCGTGAGTCGACCACTCACGAGCATCCTCCTCCAATGACTTCCGCGTAATATCAGGCACTTCCATGGATTGATCCGGCCCATGCTCATCCCCTTCGTCATCACTGCTGCGCACCGCGATCGTCGACTCCAAGTACCGCTTGCGCATAAGGTACCGCTCCGTACGCTCCTTCTTGGCGTTCGGGGGCTCCAGTTTGGCCATGGCGGCGCGGATGGCATACCGAACCATGAGGTAGATGTGCTCGGAGAAGAAGATCGTCAGCAGCAGTGCCCATCCGCGGATACCGGTAGGCTCGCCGTTCGGGCCTTCATGGCCGTTGCTGAACATGTAGAGAAGGGCGGAGCTGGTGATGCTGCCGACCCACGACAGGAAGCCAAGGCTTTCCAGCCAGGGTCCAATGGTATCGGCGCGCTGCGGCCAGGGTCTCTTGCACTCCATGCAGATCTTGAAGAAATCGGACCGAAGCTCCACCCAGTTGTTGACCAGGAAGGAGACGGGGACGAGGGGCCAGACAGGAGAGAACAAGGCCAGATATCCGAACTGGATGCACATCTCTCGCAGGTCTTCAGTCACGTCGTAGTCCTCCAAGTCGGCTTCGTTGCGTACCCGGGTCAGGAACTTGGTCTCATCGGGGTGGTCGTCGAACAATGCCTCTTTCTTGGCCTCGGTACCATCCTCAGTCTCGATCTTTCCTTGCTTTCTGCGGTTGTATTGCTTGTATTCGCGGGAAAGGCGCTGCTTAAGCATGGGCACAATGGTCTCCATGGCAAAGTTGACGGCTTGGGCTGTGACGGTGAAGTAGATCACCTGCTTGCGCAGACGGTCCGGGTCAATGCTGAATTCTGTTCTCCGTGAGCTTGCGTCTTCCTTCGACACGAAGGGCCGAACAGTCAGATGGAAGACATCAAGGTACGGCACGATCCGGCTCGCGAAAGGTACGTAGACAAAGGCTGTGAGAATGATTGGCAGATACGAGGTGATAAAGTTGATAATGAACACCTTCTGCGTCAGAGCCACATCGTATGCAGGCTGCGTCTCGTAGTTCTCGTAGTCATTGAGCTTCGTCGCGATAGACACCAGGACCGAGCTCATCGTTGGGATGAGAGCCGAGAGCAGAATGGTGGGAATGAAGACCTGATCTGTTAGCGGACCTTCTGAGAACCCGGCGATTTAGACTCACCAAGTAGGTCTTCAGTGGACCATTGTATACCTCTGAGATGAAGATCTCAATAGCAAAGCACGTGGCGATAATGACACCCAATGCAACGGCGGAAAGCAAGGCGAACGGGACAATCAGCAGTTGTCTATACATCCGCCTGGTCGCGGGGAATACCCCCCTGACCTCACCAGTGCTTTCATCCTGAACTTCCCTTTCGGGCTTGAACTCGCGTCTCTTGGGTCGCACAACCGAGACCCCCTTTGTTTGCCAACGACAGCTCAGATCCTCCTCTTGGCGCTTCCAGTACTCGATGAAAATGATACACCACAAGCTATTCACGACCGCATATATGATGGAGAAGGATCCGAGGAGCAGCCAGCAAGAGAAACCGAATACGGCAGGGAACATAAGGAACCTAAAGTATGACTGTAGGAATGCGAAGTAAAACCCGACCTGTACGTAGAAACACCCATTAGCTGCAGATCAAGTACGCATGCAAGGCCGGTCTTGTCCGTACATTCTCTCCGAACGTATTGCGTATCTGATCCAAATCATCAGCCGACAAAAACGTCTTCTGGCTCCAGTCCTTCATGCACTGTTTATTCATGGCCTCATCATGCAGCGGGAAGATCGCATCGACACATTTCCATTCGCCATGTTTCGGAGTGATACCAGCGCCACCTGCTTCTTTGGGGACAGTGATCATATGGTAGATAACGCGCAAACGCTCCGATTCCGACTGGGCCTCCGCCGAGGATTCCGATTCGGGTTCGGTGTTGCGGACGCCATAGAGCCAATCGCGGATGCTAGTGAAATGGAATAGACGAATCAGTAAGAGATGACCAAACCCGACCGTACAAAGAGCAAGCGCTCACCGAGATTGATAGATAGCGCGCTTCAGGCTCTTCTTCCGAGACGCTCGGACGAATATCAACAGCGACGATTCGTCCCCTTGCCTCACTTCGGTCTGCAGTCCAACCTCGAAGAGTTTCCGCAGCAGTCGATCGAGTTGCTCGGTCGCATGGGCGGCGTCTAAGTATAGATAGTGGTGGTTAGGTCGGAGCGACACCGGAATTGCTAGGCCTGGGGTACACCGCCATCTTACCAGTCTCACCACCAAAGTTGTAGCGAATCACGTAGTCCACATAGTGATTGCTATGCACAGGGTCCCGAGGGAGAGTGGAAGCCATTGAATGGGAAAAAAAGAGGGATGTCGAGTGCAATCAGGGAATCATGAGTACGACCAGGGAGCACTGTCGACAAAGCATCGAGAGTATCCCAGGGGAGCGGGATCTACTCGCAGTAATTAATAGTAATCTAGTGATTAGGGAGGAGCTACCGTTTTTTCCCAGGGGATCTACGCCGCGATGACGACGTCACCACCGATCCGATCTGGCGCTTAGGGTTAGCCCTCATCGTGGCTGGTGCCGATCGACGCCCCCATCGTCACCATGCTTTCATTCATCAGCAATTCTCTTTGCTCCAGTGTGCCTTGGTCGCTCATCATATTCTTCTGAGGGTTGATGATGCTAACTTATGCACCGGAGAGTCCTCATCCAGACTGGATATGTTGTTTTTCCTTCACCGCCTTCTGTTGCTGAGTATTTCCGGGCGGTGAGACTCATCCCTGTTGCTGATCTGCCAGTGGCTCCATATAAAGTAGTCCAAGAGGTCAATCATTTCATGTGATGCTTGAAAGCCACAGCCACAACATTTAATCTAGAATTGTAATCTGTACAGTTTATTGCGATCGGGATGGACATGCATAAATAATCCCTCCACTTCCTCCCGCATCTTTTGATCAGGCTCTTAGATCGTTCACAATCCCTCCGCCAACTTGTTCAACGCCGGACCCTCCATCATCATCTTGGTCCACTCATCCATGGCTTTAGCCCCGACCTGCTCATAGAACTTGATGCTGGGCTCATTCCATTTCAGAACACTCCACTCAAGACGTCTTCCCTTAATCTCCAGTACCTTGGCGGCAAGGTACTTGAGCAACTTGAAGCCGTAACCATTGCCCCGAGCACTCGGCTGGACATAAAGATCCTCAAGATAGATTCCCGGAGCTGCGCGCCACGTAGAGTAGTTGTAGAAGAAGAGCGCCATGCCGACAGGCTTGGGTGTGGGGTTCTCCGCCGTCGCAGGAGGGGTAATAAGCGCGGTGTACACGGAGCCACGCTTGGGCGGGCTATCGGGGAAGGACAAGGTTTCAAGGAGGGACTCGTGAGTGGCCTCTACTTCGTGCAGGGCTTTTTCATAATCTGCCAGCTCGCAGATGAACTGGTGGATGATCGGGACATCTGCAATGGTAGCCAAGACATGGTTAGTTAGATCGGAGACATTGCCAGTGAGCCAATGCGGGTAATGCTAAGACGACATCAGAGGGAAACACTTGCCCTCGGGAGTCGCAAGGCGAATAGTAGGCTGGTCAGACATTATTCCGGTATGTGCAATAGCTACTACAGAGAGAAGCAAAATGTTGAAAAAGACGAAAGCAAGAAGCCGGGGATGAATATATATGAAGACCCCGGAGGACCCGCCTGTCGTTCCCCACCGTGCGGTCGGGAGCGCAAATGTCTCTTACTCGAAAGGGAGCTTGACTGCCCTGCGCCCTTCGGTTGACATCGAGTCCTCTGGAAGGTCGCAGAACCACAAGAATCACAATGTCAACTAGGACTATTTTCGATAGACGAAATGAGTATCGACAAGGTATAATAAGATGTGAATCAAGAATGCTATGTACCAGGTATAATTACAACTATGGCCTTGCCTCCAAGAACCGTGGTTTCCGGCAAAGGCTTGGAAGTCTAGCGTGAGGTGATGGCCGCCATCCACTTTTGCTCATCGGTCCTGTTCAAGTCAGCATATTCAAGGTCTTCAGAAGGGAAGGAAAGAATGAACACTTGGATACTCACCGGTCGAAATGTAACAGCATCCCCAGGACAGGCACCAGCTGCTTCTGGTAGTTCTTGTCCTTCTGCTCCAGAAATTGGAGGAGCACATTCTTCAGGTAGATGTAATCGATGGATGATGTATTAGGCCCGGTTGGCGTCTCGCTTCTCCGGGTTGACGGACTGCGGTCTTTGGAGACTGGAGAGGCCAGCGCTTTGCGTGATCCGGAATCGATGGATGATCTGGACGACTGCGGATTGGGACCGAAGCGACTTTCATCCGGTAGCATCTTGTTGGACTTGCGGACCTTTTCTAGGCGCGCGTTGGTCTCCTCCACGGACCGGCGTAACTCGGCCTTCTCCTTCTCCAGATCACGGACTTGTTTCTCGCTTTCGTCCAATGCATCCCGCAACCGTGCCATAGCCTGTCGTAGATCACTGAGTTCTTGGGTGGTCTTCTCCGACTCGGCCTCAAGTTGATCCCGTCTGCGTTTCCAGTCCTTCTGAGTATGCTCCAGCTCCTCCTTATCCTCCTCCACGGTACGCAGGGCTCGCTCCGCTTCGCGCAGCTTGCCCTTCAAGTCTTCCAACTCACGCGCCCGGCGGCGGCTCTGAGCACTTGCTTCATCCTCAGCCCTGTCGCGTTCTTCGATGGCAGCCTCCATGCGCTCCTTGAAATCTCGTACTTTAGCCTCTGCGCGACCGTCAATATCATTGAGAAGACGTCGCATGGTCTCGCCCTCCCGAGTACGTTCGCTCAGCAGGCGATGAGCATCCGCTAATTCTTCTTCCAGGCTTTCACAACGCTCCCGGGCTTCCTTCATCTGCATGCCCAACTCCCCAGCCTGGTCGCGCATGCTATTCATCAAGCTTTGTGCGCTGGCATGCTGTGCAGTCTTCAGCTGGATCTCCTCTCGCAGGCCGCCAAGATCCTTGTTCAACTGAGCAGCTTGGCTCTCAGCTTCACGGAGCCGGGCCCGAGCTGCCTTGAGCTCATCTTGAGCCTTGGACAGGTCCGATGCCAGCTTCTCCTTTGCCTCCACGGCTTCCTGCTTTTTGCTCTCTGAGTATCGCAAATCAGATTGGGCGACCGTCAATTTCTCCTCGCTCTTCAGACGGCTGTCCGTCTCTTGTCTGATCTTCTGGTTGAGAGACTTGACTTCTGCGTCTCTTTCTGACATGGTAGACTTCAGCGACTTCAGCTCTGCGCGCAACTCATCATGCTGCCCCTCCAGGTTTCGCAAGTCGGCTGTCTTGCTGTTCAAGGATTCCTTTGTCGACTTCAGCTCCGCGGACTCGGCCCGTAGCTTCTTCACTTCCGGTTGCAGTTTCTGCAGGGTCTCCCGCAGTTCTGTCATATCCTTGAACCGCGTGGCAGCCAGCTGCTGGGCAGCAGAAAGCTCAGTCTCCAGTGTAGTAGACTTGATCTTGAGGCTCTCATATTCGTCCTTCAGGTCATTGTGTGCCTTCTCGGTATCAACCTTGCTAGACTCACTACTCGTCCGCAAATCTGTCAGTTCCTTCTCCAGCTTGGATATCGTTTCCTCCAGCGCGTTCTTCTCGGCGGTGAGCTCCTTCACCTTATCCTTGGCTTCAACATGGTCTTGGCCGATATTGAGTAAGTCATCGCGTAGAGTTTCGATTTCCTCTTTCAGATCCTCCTCTCCCTTGATCCTGGAGCAGAGACGGTCAATGGTAGCATCCTTCTCAGCCAGCTGCGTTTTGAGCGATTCAATGTTCTGCTCCAGCTCGGTCAGCTTCAAAGCTGCTTGATCATCTTGCTCTGCCGATTCTTGCTTCTCCTCAGCAGGAGCGGCTTCAACTACTTTGTTAGCCTCCTCGTTCGCCTTGCCTCCCTTCTTCTTCTTTTTGTTCTTCTTCTTGCCTCCCCCAGCACCGCCTGCGGGGTTCGCTGCTGGTGCGGTAGGTCCGGCGGAGTCCTCTTTCACTGTTGCAGTTTGTGAAGGAGCCAGACTCTCGCGAAGTTCATCAAATGCTGCTTCCTTTCCATTCGCAATTTGGTCTTTGGTCTGTTTCCATTTCTCGTTTTCTTTGAGATTAGCATCCAGGAAATTGACAACGTTCTGTAGTTTGCCCATATCTTCTGTCTTCTGTCCCATTTCAGTCTTGAGACTGGTAAATGTTTCTTCCGTCTCCTTGAGCTGGGACCGCAGACTGTCAACCAGACCTTGTAGGACCCCAAGACGCCGGTCATTGGCCTCCTTTTCGCGATTCAAGTGTTCCAATTTTGACTCAATCTCTGCTTGCTGATCAGCGCTCTTGGCTTGAGCAGTCTGAGCTTGGAGTTGCTCGATCTCATCGGCCTTTTGCTTGAGCTCGGATTTCAAGTTTTCGATTTCGGAGCTTGTCTTCGCCACAGCCTCTTCTGATTTTTCGAGCTTGGCTTTAAGCTCCTCAACTTCCTCTTGATTAGAGGTTTTGAGCTTCTCCAACTCCGCATCCTGTTTGTCCTTAGTGTCGCGCAACTCAACAAGCTCCCGGGTAGCGGACTCCAGGTTATGGACCATGCCTTCCGTTGACTCGCGGGCTACTGACAAGTCGCGCTTGAGCGACTCTGTCTGGGACTTCAGACTCTCAATCTCCTCCTGTTTCTCCTTCAGTTCTGACTCCAGTCGCGGGATTTCGCTGTCATATGAGAAGAACTCCTCACTATCACCCTGTGCCCCAGGCTCCTTCGGAGACGTCTCCGCAGTATCCTTGGCGCCAGAAGTGGTCGACTTCCCGGACTTCGTAGCGCTATCGGGTGTAGATTCGTCGGTAGCGGAGCTCTCGGCAGCTGGCCCTTCGTCTTTCTTGGCTTGGGATTTGCTATCCTCCTTGAGTTTTGTGACTTCATCCCAAGCGGCTTTGGTGGATTTCTGAGACTCTTCCAATTTCTTCTTGTAGTCGTCCCGCTCTGCTGTTACACGTTTCAATTCCTCGGTCACCAGGTCACCTTTCAACGAGATCTGATTCAAGTACTCCGTCAACGCTTTTGGTTCGCTAATCGACGTCAAGGGGGTGTTCTCTCGCAGGGCAGCTTCGAATGGTTCGATCGACAGGACACGCGAATGGGCCATGCGGTACGCCTTAAGGAGATCTGAAGTAGAGCAACAAGTTAACAATATGGCCGGACGGTCGTTGCAGAGCGCTCATTACCTTGATAACGGGATTCAAGTTTGCCCAACCTTCGCAGTTTTACCCGAATCTCTGGTGGGAGCTCAGACGGTGACTGGTTCGTCTCAGTTACAGGCTGAGCCTCGGGCTTCTTTGTTGCAGACTCCTCAGAAGACGTCTTCCCCTCCCCGGCGTTTTCCTCCGGGGCAGCTTCGGAGCCACCCGCCGACTCCAGACGCGGAGTGGCTGATCTGCTGGAACCTTCATCATCTCCGATGGCGAACTCCGGTTCGAACTCGTTAGGATCAGGGCCACGGACAGGGGTACCGGTGTTTCGCCGAGGACGAGAGGCTCGCCTTGTCGGAGATAAGTTGCGACCCGTGGGATGACGAGCGGAGTTGGAGCGCGAAAGTGAAGTTTGAGCAGACCGTTGACGAGCTTGTTCTTCTGCAATCCGCGAATCGATTGCGTCGCGCAGGCGCTAAATTGGGAACAAGGCGGGATCAGCCACAGCACTGGCACGAGCACAAGATGGCACGGGGGAATGCGAAACGGGTAAATAGTAATGGACAGGTTGAGAGGGAGATTTGAGAACAACTAGCGGGCTAGGCCACCTACCTGAAACATGACCGTGGCGGGCCTGTGAGCCAAGGCCACAGCAAGACTGGTGAACGAAAGACAGAAAAAGAGAAGTCGGCAAAGGGTGAGGACAAGGAGAAGCAAGCGATAGGCAGGAAAGAAGGGGAGCATGAAATCCGGCGGCGGCGACTACAACAACTCATCCACACGGGGGCTTCTTCGGTTGGCAGTTTGGGCGGCCAGCACGGGGCAGAAAGCGGGTGGCCCGCCCAATAACTTACAGTAAGTGGACTCGTTCCTGGGGGCGGTGAGCAGCCATTTATCTACTATCTACCCTAAGTTCATGTGGAATTGTTTCTGTTCATTTCATTTAATCCATTCCCCAAGAAGATGGTTTGTTGATTCAACCTTCACTCAATTGGCGCTTTTGTAATTGTATGTACCCAACATAAAGGCCACACCGCATACCATAAGAGTTGTGATAACTCTACCCCGTCATGGTGAAGAAGCTACTATATATAGATAAAGAAGCGGGTCTCTGGGACGATAGCAATGACTCTAGCGCAAAGACACCCTCGGTGACAGCATTAATATCGCGATAAAGGGATGGAAAGGAGCAATACTATAATATACTATCAAATAGAGTGATTGTTCATGATTGTCAGTATGACGATGGCGATAGCACAATTACTATGTATTTCCGTTGTAACAGTATTCGGTTAATGCGATGCTCTCGCTGCAAATATATATTTCTTGCGGTACTTAGTACTCTAGCCAGCACCATGTCACCAGGGAATTCATATAAGTCTCTTCAGATGAAATTCTACCATAATGGCGGAATTTGAGACTTAAGGCCTTAAAGAATCAAGCTTTCATGCTCCG